AAAAAGACACACCCCCCCCCCCCCCCGATGCTAGTGTAAGGACTTACCTTAAGTGATTCCTTTTAATCTGATCATCTTTTTCTTCCCTGTAGTTTTCAGGAGTCCCTCTAATGCTGGTGCCGGTCTCTGATCAAGCGCTGACTCCTCTTCCTGGCACTTCCTGTTCGTGCGGGTGCACGCTGCTACATGAACTTACATTGTGTCTCTCCTCTTCTCCCGGCCAAAGATCTGTACTGTGCATGAATCTTCAGACCTTTAAACGGGAGCGTGTGGAGGAGACACGGGTACGTTTTAACCCTTTTTAAACTTGTTTTATGCTTTTGCATATATCTACTGCTTGCTAGCAGTAGATATATGCAAAAACATACGAGGCTTTAATTATCCTTTAAATTTTTCTCAAAGCAGCTTATTTAACCTGTAAACTAGCTTATCTGCTTTATTATTTGTGCATGTAACTAACCCAATTGGCTCAATCCCCTGCCAGTTGTATGTATATAGAAGCATTAAGTGTACACAGTAGGCCAGGTTTGCCTCCTGAGTTTTCCATTCATTCCTTTATTAATTTATTGGAGGGTATAAATTGCAAGTGGAACTCATTTCCAGTTCTTTAGGGCTACTAACTGTTTTTCAGGCTCACAGACAAAGGAGGAAATGTTCATGTACAAGCTGCTGACTAATGCAGTCTTGCCCCTACTAAATAGATGAGGAAGCATGCTTTGTAAGTGCCCCTCGAGGTCTGGAGTTGAACCACTGGGCTACAATGTTGGGTCTGAATCAGGGTATAGTGTAAGGACAGTATAGGTCATTTAGAAGTGGGTACAGCTCTAGAATACCCAAGGTCCATCAGAGTACATTCGGCCAAGCCATGTACACCAAAGTAGCCATGTTTCACCCAACACTTTTTTGTTTACTAGCATATGCCACTAATACTGATGATAAATATACAAACTTGTTTTTAATATACAGTATGCTTGAAACATTGTAGTCCAAACTCAAGGGTAAATGAAGGATTTCAGTTTCACTGCAGTATGGTTCTGGCATCCATCAAATGTATTCCTCATTGAAAACCAAAGAAAACAGACTCCGCATTGGACAAGAGATAACATAGTGTAGCACTAGCACAGCATGAACTGAAATTATTTTTACTGGTACTCATTAAACTAGCACAAGTTTCTAAATGAGATACAATAGGTAGTCTGCCCAGCTGCATAGTGCTGCATAATTAAGGATGCTGTGCTTTGAACGCTTTGCATATTTAGAAGGGGAGAAATAATAATATTGTTCTATGTACTGGAATGACACTAAGTTTTCTTATTTTTTTACCCTGCAAAATCCAAAATAAAAATTATGAAAATGCTGCATTCTTTGGAAGTCAAGGGAGTAAACCATTTTCTGAACTTGATGTGTATCTGTCATTTTGGGAAATATCGATGTGTAACTAACTTGCAAATTTCCTTAGAAATGGATCAAATTGATGACAGCTGTCAACAGTCATTTTGTCAGGCACATTCAGGTGATTTTGGCCAAAGCAATTGACAGAGTTGCAGTATATGCATGCATGAAAGTAACAATCAACAGAAGTTGTAGAAATGTCATGAATTCTACTAATAGAAATAAATATAGGACACAAGAGTAACCTGTAGCTCTACAGAGGCTATTAAACTACAACTCCTATCGTGCAGTAATAATGCAGTGAATATGTTGTCTAATTATATATTAAAATAATGGATGACCTACACTGATTCTGTTATGTCCTTTATATCCTTTCCTATTCTAGTTAGGCTTTTGTTTTCAATTTGCACTTTGCAGTTTGTCCAGTTGAATTATTTTTGACTATAGAATGTTGCAGGAATACAAGATGATGGGGTTATTGAAATGTTGACTGGATCATATACTGTATACCAAACATGACACACACGTGAAATATATAAATGTTTATATTAATGTTATGATAAATACATAAAAAATACTGGCATCATCTTGATTACCCAAATCACTTCACAACAGATCGGTAAAAAGCACACTCTAGTCAGGCATGCAAATGTTGCATTTAAAATAACTCAGGGGACACAGACTGCCTGCTGAGCAGCTTTAACTTTCATTTTGTATTTGTGTTTCTATAACAAACTAAATAAACTTATAGGTGTAAATACGTTCTCGCTAGCACAGCTGATCTGTAAAGGACTTTTTTTCAGTGCATTTGTTTGCCCTGTATGATACAGGACATTGATTTTCTTTTGTTTGGCTTAAAAATAAAATAATAAAGGGTACATTTCAAAATACTGTTTTTATTTTTGTTCAGGGAGCACAGCTGCAAGGTGGTCCAACTTTAATCCTGACAATCAAGTGGAACTAGTGTCGCAAAAATTTGGTTCCTACCACACAAAACCTGTGTTAATAGAGCCGTATAGCCAAATTCATTAGACTGTACAGTATACTTACAATATTAAAAAGTTTATTAATTCCAAACTGCAACTATTATTACAAAAAAAAGACTGATAGATTTAAAAAAAAACTCAATTAAAAGAATCTAACTACAGGAATCCGGGCTATCTCTTTGTATCACTAGTGTACCAACATAAAGTATCCAAAGAGTCTACTTCTGATAGCCAACATTCAATTGGTACACTAAACATTCAAAAATGGTTAGAATGCTTAGGATAATCCGCTTTTCCCAATGTCTCACACATTAAAAGTGCATATCAATCCAATATCCGGATATTTATAATGCTACCACCATCTCAACATTCATAACCCAAACAGATTCTTAGGCTATGTGTAGCCGGATCTAAGACTGTCTTGTTTTTTTTTTTTTTTTACATAATAGTTGCAGTTTGGAATGAATACACTTTTTTATATTGTAAGTATACTGTACAGTCTAATGAATTTGGCTATAGGCTCTGATAACACAGGTGTTGTGTAGTAGGAATGATATGTTTGTGATATTTTGATATTGTATGCCCTTCATCAGAGGAATATAGCAGGTTATTGTATAGGAGATATATATGATTGTCTTGGCTGGCTCAGGTTCCTCCACTTTGTTGTGTCAATTAAGTGGAATTCCAGGAATTCTTTTTTTCTTTATCATGCATTGAGGGACAGGGAATAGTAGAAAACCATAGACAATTGACTTATTCTGCCGCACTCAGAAAATTTGGACACTGTTAAACCTAAAAAGTTAAGCAAACCACCTGTTTTTGCTAGTGTCTTAAAAGGTTGGACACTTTTTTCCTCAGCTCCAAGGAAAACCGTTTATTTTTTTTCTTATATTTCTCTAGTTCTATCAACATTCTTGATACACTGAGGATGAAATGTTCCTTCATTTAAGACTCCTACGTATCTCTCTCTCTCTCGGTACAGAAATCATAGCCATTTAACCTTGCTTGAATAATAGACACTTCCATTTTGCTTAGTAAATATTTGTTCTTGAATCTTTTCAGCTCTTGAATCTTTCTGTCAAATTTCGGATGCCCCACCCACTTTTACCTCTCAAGCTTTATATGGTTATATACTCAGTCAGAATTGCAAAGGTCTCTGTTGCCCCACTACCTTCTACATCTTAAGCCGTATAGGGTTATATGCTTAGCTTGAACTGCACATGTCTGTTTAAGATTGAACTATGAAGAAGCGCAATGTGAGCAAATGTTTAATTGGACTGCATGCAGTGTTCTGTTTACCCATTTTTTTGCCTTTTTTATTCTACAAGTGTGGTAGTTTTTACTTTTTTGGCATTCATAAAACCATATGTGCGTATACTTGTTTGCAACCAGCCGTTGCAGGTCACATAGTTTTATATTGGTGGATTTTCCCTCAGATAGAACTTCTTATTCTTCACATTAGTCATGTCAACTTGCTGTCACATTAACACATTTGTACGTTATAGACAACTTTATCTTTTGGTTTTGCTGCTATCTCAATCCTCCTAGGAACAAGTAGACAACCTGTCAAAAGACCTTAGCATTTGTTTGACTGAATGGCACTATAACATGTACACCAACCAAATAAAAGCTGTAAAACCACAATATACTGATATAAATTTGATCTAAGGTTCTGTTTGTGCAAGCATCTGAACAGTAATCTATCTCTTCTGCCTCACCTCTTCTTTTTGATGTTTATATTAAAAGAGTTAACACCTGTTTTGTCTATTTCGCTTACAGAGTACTGAGATGAGCCCAGCAAGTAGCACAGCTTCACTTCCAATTAGCCCCATTGCCGAAAGGAACCATCCTTTTAAGGTATGATACTTAGCTTTTAGTAAATATATTTGGCTGTTCACCTTATGTGCAGCTTAAATGAGAATTGTTTTGGAAATTGTACTAAAAATCTAAAATAAAACAGATTTATATTTTTTTATAGAGGGAATAACTTTTTCCTGAATAGATTGCTTATTCCCATTAAAATGTAATTCATAATATTTTACGAGCTTCTATTTACTCATCATAAAAATTTTTAAGGAAGCCAAAACCAGCAGATGGGAATTACAACTGGACTGCTGAATATTTTCTGTTAAAATTGGAATATATGTTAATATTAAAGTGTTGATGTAAGACGTAAAACCAACTGCTGATATTGCAAGAATAATGCAGTCTCCTACTATATAAATATAGATCGATATAAATTAATGGCCTACAAACCCTTAACTGGACCAAAGTCTAAAGTAAGCAATAACTAGTGTTACCAGAAAAATGTGTTATAAACTACAACAGACTGCAACCAAATCTTATATATTACCCAAAATAATATAGAAAACAGTAAAATTACAGAAAAGATATGTCCCCTTCAACATTGTGTTATTGCACACAAGTGTAATAAAATACCATACATGATACCCTATTAAAAAAAAAAAAAAAACAACCACTATCCACCCCCAAAAAAGGGAGATCTCTCCTTAACACTAGTGCCCCCCACTTCTGACATGAGCAATTTGTCATATGCAGGAGGTGTACATGGTTCTTGCACATGGCCCAGAAAAAAGTTGGGACTGTTCACATGAACTGACCCATATATCTATCTATCTATCTATCTATCTATCTATCTATCTATCTATCTATCTATCTATCTATCTATCTAGGTCAAAATATGTATCCCTGCAGCCAACCACTGGTCAAAAGGTGTATTCCAGCCACTGGTCCGCAATGGATGTCTACCAGGGTTATTCACAAAAGGGTGAACAATCTAGGCCAAAATAGCTGATTTGGAAAAATTCTCCAATTCAGCTCACTTTCCAGTACAACTATGTTGTCCTAAATTGTTCACTTCTCATGCCTTCTCCAAACTCTTCACCCTTTTGTGAATAGCCCTGTAAGAATATTTCCTCTACACAGATGCCATGAATCCTGTATCAAATACACTCTGTATCCATGTTCTCAGTGTAAGCACTCTCTTTGCAAAGAATATATGTACAGAGACAGTAGTCCTGTCATTAAGATATGAAATTAGGTGAAGTCACTCCACCAAAAGTGGTACAAATATCATAAGTATCACAGTAAAAGTGTATACTTCAGTTCTCCCATGGTCTGAGACAACAGATATCATCCACAGTGGTAATGTGGAACTCATACACATCACTCCATTTCCAAAATGGAAACAACTTTATATGGCAACTGCAAAGTCTCTACTGTTGTAAGAGTGAGATTTTAATGATACCAAAGCTTATATCAACATGCACTCACAATTTCCACCACCCCATCAGTCAGTGTGGTCACAGATCAAATATATACAAAGTTCCCAGGGTAACTTTAGAGCCACAAATAGCAGATGCATATGAAGTGTCTGACCGGTTTTGTCAGCATTTCCTGGCTTTGTCAGAGGTAGCTATATTCTGTAGCTCATGATCTCCAGTTATGGACAGATGGGACAAAATGGGACCCCTACAGCCTCCCATGCCATGAGGCATGCCCAGTTCCAGTTTCACGTGTCTCCGCCTCTCTGCACATGTTATGTTGTCACTACTTATGACATCACCACATATGTGTCGCATGCTGAGACAGAGACAGAGACCAAGGAACAGCACACCTGGATATAAGTATTAGTGTACAAACAGGCCGCACTATCCAGAGAATTCCAATACTTCAGACTTTATTGAAATTCACAGCAAATCCAGTTTAACAGTGAATAAAAGTGTATAAAGCAACAAATGTCAGCACTGGACACCCCCAACCAACTACAACTTCTCACGTGTTTCACCCGTAGGCTTATTCATAGAGGACCTGTTATACTGGATTTGCTGTGAATTTCAATAAAGTCTGAAGTATTGGAATTCTCTGGATAGTGCGGTCTGTTCGTACACTACTACATTCCAAGTTGGAGACGCACCTATTTGGACCAGCACTTGGGGAGTCCTGATGGTGGCTAAGGAATTGGAGCTGTGATATTTTCTTTGGCTCTGGATATAAGTATGCCACATCTTCCCACAAGGGGTCACAGAACTTCCATATAATCCAAAATATATAGACAAAACTATTATAACCTCCCAATCTATAATATGTAAATACACCACAAGGTAAGTATATTATAAAACAACAACAAAATAGTATACCCACATAAGGACATCCAACTGATTGAACTACAGGAACACAGTGGTCAAAAAGTAGTAATTACAAATAAAGATTCCAAGAAATTGTATACCCAAGGTCATATAATCCCTTAAGGTACAAATATATCCATATGTCTGTTGAGGACTAGTGTGTCTGAGTTAATATATTTTGATGGCTGCAGGGATATGACTTAACACTAATTGAATCTGGGTGCAACAAAGATCTCTTTGCTTCACTGATAATTTGATTGTCTGAATTTATGGATGAACATTCTCTATAAAGTATATCAATTGCTTATTGGGTGGATGATGTATATGCTACTCTTCTCAGATGCATAGAAAGTTTATTATATATGGTTACCATATTTTTTCTGTGATTCAGAATATTTTTGATGCATTTTACTTTGCTGCTGGTGAAATTACCTCTCAGTCACATAATATCCACACAGTCTAGGCCAGCGGTGGCGAACCTTGGCACTCCAGCTGTGGCAAAACTACAAATCCCAACATGCATCTGCCTCTGGGAGTTATGTCTGCGGCTGTCAGAGCCCTGCAATGCCCCATGGGACTTGTAGTTCCAAAACAGCTGGGGTGCCAAGGTTCGCCACCACTGGTCTAGGCAGTCCCATATTAATGTTCATCTTTCCCTCAGAGAGTTGGATCACTTCAAGAACTTTGCTGCATGTTGCTGCAGTTTTGCAGCAAGGCCCTGAATGATTAGCACTCATCTATAAGACATTTAGAGAATGGAACATTTACTTCATTAAGGTATGTCTTAATTGTGGGACTCCTGTTAATGTTACATTTAAATATATGCCTGAACTTTTATATGTACTTGACATTAGGGTTGATTTACAAAAGAGGTAGAGCATGTTCACTTTGCAAATTGAGTTTTCGCTTTGGCAAGGAATTTTCACTCACCTTAGTGAATTTGGGGAAAATGTACGCTACAAATTAAAAAAAAAGATTTTTTTTGCTTGCACATGATTGGATGATGGGAATCATCAGAGCTTCAATCTCTCTTTATTTGGGGTTAACATTGTTTTTTACAATAAAACAATCTTGTCAGGGGCATCACTTGACTTGTTTTATACCTCTGTGTTTTCTGTGGTTATATTGATGTCTGCATTATTTTGAATAATGTATAGGATTTTTGTTGTGCTCGATGGTAGTGTCTATAAAGAGTAATTTATTTGTCTTGTAGCATAGTTCTACTTACTAGAGCATCACACATGTTCTACAATAACGCTGAGCATCTATGTTGCCTCTCATGCTTTTAGAAAATAAGAAGTGTTGCTATACATGTCGATAGCCCTACTGTGTGGCTGCAAGGACAGCTACTGGAGTGAATGGGACAGTAGAATTAATGCGAACTGACAATGTAGCCTGGACTTATGTTAGTGCAGTAGAAAGATAGCATTTTCCTTAGGTCTCAGTTTAGTGAGCCATATGACTTAGTACATTTTTTCTGTCCTCTAATCAGCAGAATTTGATACACTGTAGGAAGAAACACCTGCTTCCCACTCTTGTGTTGTTAGTTGATGATCTACCTGTGTTTCAGATAGCCATGTCATGCTATGTACCATATGTTCAGTATATTAAATCAGTACAGTGATTAAGAAGGTCACGGTATTCTTCTGAATTCACAGGCCTCTGAGTGGTTACAGATTTGTATTTGTTCCAATTTAGTTGACCTTTGAGTTATTCTACATATATAAATTATCTTGATGTGAATTAAAACACATCATATATAGTAAAGCTTGTTTCTGCTTTCTTAGTAAGGAGTAGGGTAACTACTAGCAAAGAAGACTAAAAGCCTGTTATGGATCCTCATGTCAATAGTGATTCTATGGCCAATATCCTGTGTCCCCTTCCACCATTTCTTTAAAATTATTTGTTGTTCCAAAGACCAGAAGTCTATTGGAGATATTGACAGGACACTTGATCTAACATATACAGTTTAGCCTCCATTCTGCCTCCATCTAGCACCCATATAATGCTTGGGTGGGTTCCACGTTGTTTAAGTGCATCCTTTAGTGCTTCTGATCAATGGCAATACTCTTTATCAGTCATTCCTAGTCAATGCTTTGCTTTTGTGAGTACCATCAGATAGGGCACACGTAGCAGCTATTTCCCCACCTGTCACTCTTAGGGGGACACCTGTAAATCTATGGCAAGCTTGACAAACAGACATAAACCAGAACTTGCTGATCCTGCATTTTTTTTTCAAATTGACAATTTTTATTAACTTTTTTTGTTACGTAAGATTTACAGAGATGACAAAAAGACAGAAAATATGAAACAATGACCAGTATAACATGCGGACCATATCCATGTAAACATTACATAGCAGCCAACTGTGCATAGTTGAATCCCTTGCAGAGTCAAGTCCTTATCCAGGGGAAAGACATGTAACCTTCATGAGTGGAAAACAAACTAGCTAGCAAGTAATACTGTACCTATGAAGAAAAAATGCAAAACATTATAGGTATACACCCATTTCCCACACATTACCTAAGTTTAGCAGTAGAACGGGTAGGAGGTAGACTACTGTGTTATAATACTGAAAAGAGCGTTTTCTGGTGCCACGCATGGGCTAGGCCAAGCTAGCCTAGAAGACAAACAAAAAGAGGTGGCCAGGGTAGTTCCCTGGAAGAAGGAAGACATGGAACGGAAACCCTCACCCAGCATCCCATATAT